TATTTTATATACAAGAATGCCTTCTATACAAGCTAGCTCATTAAATAATATAATTGTTAAATAAATCTAACAAGATTTTTGTCCCAACTTTTCCTTAATCAAAAATGGATTCAATGCAGGCTAGCTTACTAAAAAGCATATTTTTTATAAAAGTCTAACGAAATGTCACTCCTGCAAAATCTGCAGAATTGTCCCAACTTTTCCTTAGTCAAGAACGGATTCTGCGCGAGCTAGCTTATCAAATAGCATATTAATTATAAAACTTTAATGAAAAAAATATGCTCTACGCCTCTGGCTAAAAAGCAAGTCTAATGAAATGCCCGTTAGATATTGTATCCAAATTTTAGCTAAAATTAAGGTATAAGCTAGCCAAAATGGTTTTTCTATTTATTTGCTTTACCTATTCTGGCTGACAACTATCACAATATTCTCCTTCTTCTAATTTTATCGGATGGAAGTATTCCCTGCAGAGAGTAATATTAAGCTTTGCAAGCATATCTCTATGGGTAACCATTAATTCCTTAAAAGTTCTTTTTCGCATCTCTGATCGAAGTTTTTCTTGTAACTCTGATCAAAGTCTATTATAGTGTCGGGTAATATAGTACTCTCTGATATGTAATAGGCATCGTCTACAAGCTAAAGCAATAGGTTTATCACAATCAAAACAAGGTATACGTTTTTTAGCCTTCCAATGGAATCGACATCCTTCAGACCTAGTACTAGCATTTCCACGTCTTTCTGGTATTGCAGAGAAATGGGCAAGAATATTCGCCAATTATCCTACTTTTTTATTACTAGATTCGAAAAGATTAATTAATAATTAGTTAATGCTTCAGTTTTGCAATAGCTAGAACCACTTAGAAAGCTTGTAAATACTTATCTTCAGTAGGGTTTTTATGATTAAAAAGTGATAGGTATATAGGAAATAAATAATTAAAGAAAAAATTATATAAGCAAGTAATAGCGTGACAGTTAGAGCTAACTAATATACCAAATGTCTGATGCTTACCTAGAATATATAGAAGAATTTAGTATAGAGATATCTGATTTCAATCCAATTGGTCCTACTGCTCATATACCTTTACCTGAAACTATACCAAAATGTAATAATGGAATTATTAATATTCAAAATAATGATGACTGGTGCTTCAGATGGTATGTCCTAGAAGCTTTGCATCCAGTTAAATTTCATCCAGAAAGAAATCCATATCAGCTATATGGAGATTTTATGGAGGAACTTAATATGGAAGACATCCCAATTCCAATACCAGTCTCAACACCAGTTTATAAAAAGTTTGAAGAAAATAACCCTGAAATCAATCTATATGTCTATGAATAGCACAACCAAAACAAATGTCTTGACTTTCGCTATGTTTCAGAAAGAAGAGAGGATGAATATAAGCAAGTAAATCTTCTAGTAATTACGGAAGAAAAAAGAAGTCACTATTGTATTATTAAAGATTTACATAAGCTAGTATACAATCATAGTAAACATAAAGGGCGAAAATACCTCTGCCGTTATTGTCTTCATGTATACTCTTCAGAGATAAGATATAATGAACATTTTCTAAAATGCAAGAGTCTAAATAATGCCTCCCAGCAACTACAAATGCCAGTTAAGAATAGGAGTATCAAAGCTTTTTATAACTATAAATGCATGCAACCAAATCTATATCGTATTTTATGGGATTTAGAAATGTTAACCGAAAAGTTAACCTTAGAAAAAAAGACAAAGTTAACCTATACTGAAAGATTACAGATGCACAAGCCGTGTGGCTATTGCTATGTAGTTGTTCATATGGATAGTTTACTTAACTATGAAATCATAAGTCATGATTTATATAGGGTCCAGATGCGCTTGAAAGATTTATTACATAAATCGAGAAGGAGTTGGCAAATATACAGGAGGACTTATCTACGCCTGCAGAAATGATAATGGCACCAAGAGATCTTAAAGCATACAATGAGGCAACAGAATGCTGGATTTGCAAGGGACCTTTTTTAAAACCAGCATCAGAGATAGTACAAAAACTCGAAGAAACAAAGCATAATTTATTAGAAATCAAAGAATGGGAACCATGCATGGAAAAAGAACATCCAAAAAAGAAAAAGGTATAGAAAAGATACTGAGAAGCTTTAAGTGCACTTAATCGAAAATTAAAAGATCATGATCATATAAATGGAAAGTACTGAGGCCCAGCTCATGACTCTTGTAATAAAAAGTTACAAATAGGCTCTTTTGAAACCAAAGTACCTCTTATTTGCCATATTTCTGAGGTTATGACTCTCATCCGCTCATAAAAGTTGTGAGCAAGTTTACGGCTGATAAGCTAAAATGCATTCCAGAGAATATAGGAAAGTACAAAGCCATAGATGTTGGCCAGCTCCAATTTCTTGATAGCTTTTAGCATATGGGAATGGGATTAGATAAATTAGTAAAATGTCTAGGAGGAAAGCTTGAAAAATTTCCCCTAACTGTCAAGTACTTTACTGAGAAAGGCTATTCAATAGATAAGATTAAGCTTCTTTTTCGAAAAGGTGTTTTTCCATATGACTGGACAAATGCATAGGAAAAATTTAACAAAACAAGCCTTCCATCTAGAAAGGACTTCTATTTACTTCTTAATCAGCAAAATATTAGTAAAGAAGATTACGAACATGCTCAAAAGGTATGACAAATATTTGAGATGAAAAACTTTGAAGAATATCATGATCTTTATCTTGAGACAAATGTACTTTTACTTGCGGATATTTTCATGAATTACACTATCATGTGCTTGAAAGATGACAGTTTAGATCCCTCTCATTATGTTTCAGCACTTGGAATGTTTAATGATTCTCTTTACAAAAATAGCAGGGCAGAACTCAAACTCATGACAAATATGAATGAATATCTAACGGTAGAAAATGGCATTCGTGAAGGCATGACAATGACAAGTTATTGATACGCTAAAGCAAATAATCCACAATGTCTAGATTATGACTCCAGCAAGCTAAATTCCTGGATTATGTATGAGGATATGAATACTTTATATTCAGGTGCAATGACCCAATACATGCCTACAGAAATTTTAGGTAAACTAGTACCAAAGAAAATACCAGATATCCAAAGCATAGCGCCAGATGCAGAAATAGGCTATATACTAGAAGTTGATCTAGAAGTCTCAATACACTTGCACGATTTCTTTACAGATTATCTGTTAGCATCCGAAAAGCAGATAGTTCCAGAAAACTGGCTTAGTCTATATAATAAAAGATTAATAAAAGATAAAGAAGTTGGAAATGGAAAATATGTGTCTGGAGAGAAGCTAGTCCAGACCCTCTTTACTAAGAAGAATTATGTAATTCACTATCAAGCTCTTCAGACATATATGAAGTTCAGGATGAAGATTACAAACATTCATAGTGCTCTTAAGTTTCAGCAGTCTCTATAGATGAAAGACTATATTGAGAAAAATATTCGCAAGCGTAAAATTGCTAAAGTTAATGGAAACGAGTTTGGGGTCATGTATTATAAGTTAAAGAACAATGCAGTCTTTGGCAAACAAATGGAAAATGTTTGTAAACATATGAGAGTAGAATTACTCTGAACAGAAGAAGATAAAAAAATCAGATGCCTAGCAAGTTCACCATTGTATGTAGGCTTTAAAGCATTCGAAAGGGGAATTACAGCAGTCCATATGTTAAAAAGTACAGTAATTCTAAACAAACCAATCTATGTAGGGCAGGAAATTCTCAACATTAGCAAGGCTATGATGTTCAACTTTTGATATAGTTACATAAAGCTTTGTTATGAAGAAAAGGTCTGTCTACTTTATACAGATACAGACTCGCTTATCATGTAGATAGAAACTAAGGATATCTATAAAGATCGAGCAGAAAGACCAGACATTTTCAATCTTAACTATTCAGGAGACTTGTTTTTAATGAAGGATGAGACAAAAGGGGATCTAATAGGTGAATTAGTATGCTTAAAGCCAAAAATGTATTCAGTTCTTTTAGCAGGTCATGATCCTAAAACTCCTGATGATCCTAATTCAGAAGACCCTAAAAAGAAGCATAGCATTTAAAAGGCAAAGAGTGTTAAGAAATACGTGGTTAAGAGGGAACTTCGACATGATAAGTTCCTAGAATGTCTTAGGAACAAGAAACTAACCCAGCATGATATGTATGACCTCTGAAGTTATGATCATCAAATATATCTGGAGAGGGTAAATAAGATAGGGCTGAATTCATATGATAATAAGCGCTGGATCTTACTTGATGGAATTCGAACTCTCCTCTATAGACATTGGTGAATTAGACTATATAAACGCCTGATAGCATCTGAAATATCTCCTGAGGAAGCAGAAGAAAGGGCTATGAAAGCTAAACTTCATATTAAGACATAGATGTTATATAACAAATATTTTTTCGGATAAAAAAAATCTAAAGAATATATTTTCATTAATTAAAGTTTTTCTATTGCTATAGTAAAAACATACAAAAATGGTTGATCATAAAGATATAGAACTTGCGCAAGTTAAAGTCATAAAAATTGCATTGCGAAAGAGCAGAAAATATGATAATCTTGCAAAAAATTATGGAGACTACCTAAAGAAACTGCGAGCTGAAAAGGATCTGAATAACTATATTAAGACACTTGCAGTAAAAATGTTCCCTAAGGAAGAAGCATATACTGAAAGGCTAGAAAATTATCGCAAAAGGTATGAAGATAATGATCTATATAGCAGTTTAGAGGAATTATATGAGCTTTATTATCAAATAGCTAGGGAGGAGAATTGCGAAAGATCAGATGATGAAATAGAGCAGATGTTTAAAGCAATGACAATCTAGTCGTCTTTGGCAAAGCTTTTATATAAAGATATTTTTTTTGTCTAGAGAATAATGTAGGTAAAAATTAGCAATTGAAATAAAAAACATTAGTTAAGTAAATCATTACGTTTGATATACAATGCATTTATACAACCCGCTCAAAAAAGCAGATACAATTGCTATAATCATTCAAAAGCTTCCATTAGAGGTTCTTGATAAGCTCTACTGGATAAATAGCACTTGGTATAAAGAAATCCAGCATGAGTTTTGGCAAAGATAGAAGGTACAAGTGCTAGAATACTATAAATTGGGACTTGAAGAAGAGAAACTGGAATATCCCTTTAATTAGGATATAGAATCAGAGGAATTTATTGAAAGGAAAACTGAAATAGCTAAAAAACAGGTAGAGATCGAAAGATATATGCTTCATAATGGAATGCTTGAAGGACAGGAAAAAGAAATAGTCAAATATAATATTCAGCAGATAGCTAAAAATGTTATTCTATGGTAGGATGTAGATACAGTCAACTCCCTCTATAGTCACTCCCGTTATAATCACAATCTCCTTTATAGTCACCTCAGTTAGTTATCCCGAAATTATATATATAAAATTTACTCTTTATAATCACAATCTACTTATAATCACTATCACATCTTTTTTCAAAAATCTTATATTAAAAAAGTATTCTCTTTAGTCACATAATCACGTGAAATAATCA